CAAAAACATTGTGGACGAAAATGTGACGGTGGTTAGTGATGGTGGTAGACAAAGACGAAGATGGTGGCCATGGACGGTGGTTGGTGATGGTGGTAGACAAAGACAAAGACGGTGACCACGTGGACAGAAACGGCGACGAAGACAGTGGTGGATAAAGATGGAGACGATGGTTGTAAATGAAGATGGCGACGGTGGTCGTGGACGAAGACGACGATGGTGGTTGTGAACGGAAACAGTGGTGAATGGCGGTGGACAAACACGGTTGTGGACAAAAACGGAATCGATAGTGGATGATGGTGGATAGAGATGGAGCGAAGGACATAAACAAAATCAGGGGCAATTATGTCAATTGTCATCCGCTATAGTCCAAAATGTGACTTATAAGACTTATAAAAAAGGGTAAATTTTGTAAAATTCATTTTTTCTTTTATTGTTCTTCATTAAAAGTAAAAACAGAAAATCAAGATCTAAAATTGTTAGTCGCTATATTTTGATTCATTATACATTAGATAATAAATAAGATGTTCATTAGGTAATATAAAACCTAATTTCCTTAAATTCTGAAGACCTTATTTTCAGATTTAATTTGGTTAAATTGGTTAAAATTTATGTTACTTGGTTTTCTAAGTTGTGAGTACTAGAAAACGTAATATATATATTTATTGGGGTTAGGGTTAGATGTTCCATGACTTGTTTTTTTAGGGACAGTTGTAAAAATTTTACTTTTAAAATATTTTTTTGCAAACATGGTATTATGAGTTGTCCATTTTCAAAAATTTCACAAATTAAAGATTTTTCAAATTCTAAATCTTAAATAATTAAACTTTTAAAAATATTACACTAACAAAACCTAAACTTTCAAAACTAAACTCTAACATAACATAGTTAACACAAATATAAATGATATTTTGAGTAAATTATATAATATAAGTAGTATTTTTAAAAAATACCATTTCAAAAGTGATATTTTTCGAAAATTCTCATTTTTTATCTATCTTTTTCTATGCTCTCAATTTTTTAATTTTCATCGGTAAAAACATTGC